CACTTTACTTTACACTTTACTAGCCTAAAATCTGCCATACATCTTTATTTTCACAATTTTACCCATCTTTGCAGTCAACTGCTGCAGTAAAATCAGCGAAAGCGTCTGCTTTTCAACATTTCTCAGGTCCAGCTCTAACCAGTGGTTAGTGAAGGCATATTACAATGGATCTAAGTTTTTTTCTCTTTTTGTGAACTGACAGGAAAGCTGGGGAAGCTGCAGATTGGCACCTGGGCCTTATTTCTGTCTACATCTAGGTGTGTTTTGTCTTCTAACATTCAGTCTCTGACGAATGCATTGGGAGCAACTCAGGCTTCATTATCTTGCCCAATGATACTTTGGTCTCCAAGCTTTGGATTAGTACAGGACGCACTCTACCTCCTGATCCACAGCCATTTAAAAAAAAAAAAAAGGAATGTGTTGATTTGTGTTCTATTCTGCAAGACTTGAAACTGGTGATTGAGACTATAAACTCATCAGAAAAGTGTTCACTGAGCTCAGAAATCAAGGGCTGTTTTCCAATATTTCCCATGTTTTCCTATATTTCTATACAACAGTGAGTCACCTCCTTCTGGCCTTTTTCTTCAGCCTCACCAAAGCAAACCAACAACGTAAGTTCATCTTTTATGTAAATGCAAAGTGTTTGAGGTCTGAACAGATCCGCATAGCATGGTAATAACAATGCCATCTAGTATTGTATAGATATACTTGCAGAGTGGTGCAGAGACATAAGCTAATGTAGCATGGCCTAAGACTCACTCGAATTTATACAAAAATGCTTTTACAGTTCTTAGTAAAATATTAGACAGGTAAGAAAAAAAAAAGCGCACCTATAATTATTCTTTAGAAATCCTCAAAAACAGGAGTATACGATCATCTCACACCACAATACGCTGCATTACATATTCTCATAACACTGGAGCATATAATATGCAGTATAAACATCAGGGGGATATCTTTGGAGGGATTACAAAGGCTGAAAACAAGCAAAAAAAATAAATAATTAGTCCCTTCTGTCAGACTGGTGGTTTTTATAGGCATGACAGGATCAAGAGTAGATCCTAACATTGCATGCAGCCTGTGAGGGCCTGTCCATATTATTTTTGCTGTGAGAGAGAGACATCACATTGTAAACGAGCTTAAATAAATATTTGGAGATTATATAAACGGAAATGAGCTTCTGGGGTATTTTTAGAAGGATAATTCTTCCATTATATCATACAGACAACAGGAGCTTTGGGCTTTAAACGGGAGCTCAACTAATGTTTCTCAATAAAAGCATCACAGACAAATAAAAAGTCCACAGAGTGAATTGTTTGGCCATCTGGAGGACTGTTGTGCATGTCTGTGCAAACCAGAGTGTACAAAGAAGGATTTGACACATCAGCCTCTCCCTCCCTCTGCGTGTTTTGTGGGTGGAAAACAGGAGAGAGAGAAAACGATGGACTCGACACAGATGTACAATTCATGAGATGGTTGCAGTTGTAGTTCCAGTTGTTTTTGAACAGCTAGACATTATTTCTAGATCTGTGAGCTGGAATTACTCAATACTCTGACACTTTGAACATTTGGCTCAAAATGCCTTCAAATGATGCCATAAGCTCTGAAGATGAAACCAAACAGTTTATGACAGCAGCAGCAACATCAAGCAGCAATTAGCTGTCCCATTAAGTGGAAAGCATCAGCTTTACATCGAGCCAAGATTCTTTTTCTAGTCTGGAGGTCAACAAACTGAACTCAGTAACCCTCGGCAGGAATGCAGTGAATGTGTGATATGGTGTGGCAGCCTACAGCAGGAGTGGAGGAAGACTGAAACACTCCCTCTGGTTCCCACTGCAGAGAGAGAAACAGTCACTTCCTGCAGCGGTGGCCAAAGAGGAGCCTGTGTCCCAGAGGCTGTGATGTTTGGAAGGAAAACGAAGCCGGCAACCTCCAACGTCTCCAGTTGCAGTCTGAATCTATATTGTGGTCTTGTGCAAAGGCTTCACCAAATATCGGAAATGTTTGTGGTAGAAAGCTATTTTGCCTTGAAAAAGAAAAGTGGAGGTAAAAAGTGTCCTTCTGGAGAGGCTCCATTTCCTGTGGGATATCCTGCAGTACATAATTGGCATAGTTGAGTTCAAATGTTCTAAATAAAGTTGATACAAAAATATGAATGAAAGTAAAGATAGAACCAAAAAATCCACAGTTTGAAACATCTTTTCAAAGCATGTTATCCATTCATGTGCTATAAATCTGCACAGTACAGGATGTCAAAAAAATAGCCTGTCTGGCACTATTTCTTGACTTTAAATACAGACGTAGACACTTCCTTTTTATTAAACAACAAAAACAGAAGAAGCATGCTGCTAAAGAGGATATGTACCAGTGAAGCGCTTATTGTTGTGAGATGAGATACTGTCCAAAAAAGACAAACACAGAAAGCCAAAGGAGACAAAAGCTAGTAAGAAATCTTTGTAAAAACAAAACTCATTCATATCCCAGCAACATCTCCACCAGGTAAAGCTGCCACAACCAGTCAACGGAGGGTAATTTGGGCCCAGTTCCCAGTGTCGGCATGCACTCCGCTCACCACTGAGTTCAGCGCAGTGTTTTAGGATACTGCAGGGGACAGCGCAGAAGAGTTTTAAAAACTGCATGCTGGAGAGAGGAGAAGGTTAATGTTTGACATACCTATTCGTCATTTTTGGGAAAAAAATGGTGACCCACACACGTCCTTTCCTTCAAAAACATCAGTCAAATTCCAGCATTAGGTTTTCCCCATCTTCCCAAATGACCTTCAAATCACCCACGAGCCCACAATTAGATCTGATGGGTGATGATGAGTACTGACACGAGCAGGTAGTGCCAGTCATTTTTCTTTAATTTCTCCAATCATGACTCGGCCACTCATTCTTAGGTGGAAACCCTGGCAGCAATTCACGGCTGCTCCGCACAGAACTTCCAGTGCTCCTCACTCAGGATCCCCAAAGCTGGATACCAGAAAAGTACTGTCCCCAAAGATTCATCCACCTACACTATATCTAGTCGTTACCACGCAGGATCCTACCCCTTTATCCCCAACAGCACCTGATAGGTGACTCTGTCCAAAAAACACCTGATCCTGCTGGGAGGTGTCAGACCTTGAAGGACTGCTCTGCTAGTTATCTGCCAGTATACTGGCATTGGTATTTTTAATGGCCGATCATTGAAAAATTAAAAAAAAAAAAGTAAAGAAGACCCTAAAGAAACACCCTTCAAACATGTGTTGATATTGTATAGTTTGCAGACTGGACGCCACTCGAAAACAACAAAACACACATAAAATAAACTGGATATGTAGGATTTTGAATGACCAAATATCAGTCTGGGTGTAGTCCCGTCTTCCAAGTTTGATCTAAAGTATTATTTATTCTAAAACCAGAGGACCCACAAAAGTAGTTCTGGGTCAATTTTTTTCGGCTTACAGTGAATACAAAGTACTAAAAGAAATACAATCTATGCATAACAACATTTAAGTTGATAACTATCTTACATGATGCCTGTGGTGGCACTTCTTTTGTTTGACATCATTTGAAGAAGCAAATGACAGAGTGCTCTGTACACTCATTTCAGAGACGAGACAAATCCATCACAGCAAGGCAGCACCTCCCTGACCCTGGGAAGGAACCTCAAAATATGAGTGTACCACTTTAAATGAGTGCTCTGACAGGAGAACAATATCTCTGTAAACCATTCATCTTAATGACACAGTAGGCTGTAGGATAAGATTACTGTTTAGTCACAGGCTCAGACTGGCCTCGGAATGTGTCTTATTTTAAACAGAAGCTGCTCGTGTTGTGAGTTCAAGGTTTCAATGTGCTGAAAGGAATATTCCCAAGGGTTCTTTGACTGTACTCTAAAACGGGCTTACAAGAACACACGGTTATTGTTTAGAGGATGGGCCTGGTAGACGTTTCTCCCCATTTATGGTTCATTGAAACCAAGCCACTTCAATTACACGTCAGCAAATGTCGCCCTGCCAGACACAAAATGGCAGTAGTGATGATTTCATGACAGTAACAAAAACTGTAAAGTATCACCAGCAGACAAATCCTCTAAGAGGGTCCTGCGAAACATCTGGAGTGACTGCAGGGAGTCGGTGAGCAGCAAAAGTGCCGACGAGGCTTCAGTTTGTGTCCCCAGTGAGTAGAAATGAAAACATGTTATCACTTATCACTGCTGTCATGGTTTAAACACCCTCAGTGACATTTTTAATCCTCTGTCAGGGCTAGGATCTGGGAGACACACTGTTCTCACAAGATAAGAGGAAAAGATCAAACACACCAAGTTACTTCTGTCTATATGTGGAAATTTGGAGCAGGAGGAATGAAATACTTCCAGAGACCAACAAATATTAAATGCTGAAACTGTCAGTGGGTTCCATGAATTTAAGTCATATGCAGGGACATGAAAGAACTGTTAAACTCAAGAGTACTTGATGATTTATAAGCCTAAACAGTGACAACCTCAGCCTTGTGCAGTGCGACTGCAGCAGCAAAACACAAGAGCAGGTGGGATATGACGTTATTTTTGTGCCACTATTCTGAGCACACGTAAAAAGAATTTACAGGTGCAACTGTTGTATTTTGAGGAGAAATTTATTTTGAGCGAAGAAAAGCTAAATTTGAGTGAACAAAATTAATTGCTGCATGCAAAATATGTATTTCAGTGTTTGCTATTATCCATACACACACTCACACACACTAGCAGCCCCTCTCACTCAGTTTTTGCGCTTGCCCGCAATGTGTTGCTCGTGCTCTCAACATTTGTGCCCGTGCGCGTTCTACTCTTTCTGTACACCGTTATAAGCAGAGTGAAGCTGACCCCCCACCCACTTGAAACGTAAAGGCAAATAGGCGGAGCGGTTAGTGCTACGTTTGTGCTGATTTGTGCAGGTAAAATTAGCGTTTGTGCTGCTACGGTTTTTGAGATACTAAACATTATTTTATAGGTCATTCAAAAGGTCACCATCCCCCAGACTGCTCCAAACAAACCAAAATGGTCTACTTTTTTAGTGCTACGTTTGTGCTGATTTGTGCAGGTAAAATTAGCGTTTGTGCTGCTACAGTATCTGAGATATAATGATTTTAATTATTACGGCCTACGCTGTATAACACCAGTGTCTGTGGCAGTGAGTTTCAGCAGCTGTGGAGTTTTGCACTTTTTCTAGGCTTGCTGCATATTAACTTTTATTAGTTTACACTTTAGTAACACAATTTATTCAGCGGAAAGGTCGATATTTCTTTTGTTACTAGTGCAGAAACGTACACAAGGTAGGCTAAAGTTTTTATTTTTTCTGTGGCAAAACTGAGTTTCATGTGAAGTGATTCACGTATACCTAAATTATTATTATTTTTTACATACCCAGTTGGCCTCTATGATTTTGTTTTGAATTATATATGTTCATTATTATTAATGTAGCTGTCTCAGAAAAAATGAAGTGTTTGCTTTGATAGGTTGTTACCTACGTGTAGAAAACTGAATATTCCACAGCACCTAGGCGAGGGATCTTCAACCTGCGGCTCTAAAGCAACATGTGGCTCTCCGGCCCCTCCACTGTGGCTCTTATAAGTCCAAGTAAGTCATTTTTTTATTATAAAGACAACAAGAAAGGGTTCTGTTAACAGTTTGTTTTTTTATGAAATATCTGCATTGACTATTCACTGAATGTACAAGGCTTTTAAAAGTGATTTAATGTTTCTTAGGTTCAAATCTGTTTACTGTAATTTTCAAGTTGGTTGCCCATCTTTCCTAATTTTCAATTATTATGGAAAGGACTCACGTAGCTGGCTTCATTTTAACAAATACTTTTTTCCGTTATAAAGCTTTGATGATTCATTGTCTTATCAAATCTAAAAATAAACATTTTTATTTACATTTCCATAGCTTACATGATACAACAACTCATTTTCTAGATATTTATAGGCTCTTTCTTTTTTTAGGCTCTAGACAGGTTTTGTAGCAGCAGGGGGAAAAGGGGCCCTTTGAAATGAAAAGGATGCTGACCCCTGACTTAAGCCACCAGGTAAACACAAAACAAATACAGAAAAATTATTGACAGAAAAATGGAACTGTTACTTTCAAGGCTACGGGTGAAGGTGACTGGGTGTGTAAAAGCAAATATGCATCAGACTGACAAAGAAAAGAGTGTTAAAAGATTTTTAATTTAGAACTTTAACTTTATGTGCAAAACTGAACTTACTGATATCACACACTAGCCATTTGAACACATGTAACTGTAATGAACCAAATAAAACAGAAAAATGCAGGCAGCACTCATTATACTGTGTATAACACAGCATGGGGTTGTATTTTTTTCTTTTCAGATGCTCCTGTCACTCCATTTCCCAGGTCATCGTAGCACTCCCACACAAATGTGGGCATTACTCCTGCAGTATGCAGTGTAATGCCCCAAACCATCAGTGGTCATCTTTCCATGGAAAGCAATTAATGCCCTCAAAGTGAACGACTTTCCTTGGAGAACCAGGTTGGAGGGAAATTCATTCAGTGGAAATTCTGTTTGTTTGCAAGGTCAGTATCAATCCACACGATATCTCCAATGTTGTATCTGTGAGTAACTGTCCCTGCACAGAGCTCATTTCCTGTGGTGCTGTCTTCTGTTTTGAATTCTGATGGACACAGAGATGGATTGGAGAGTGGCCTGAGGCAGGTAGACTCAGGTAGGCCAAGTCCTGCTTCCACAGCCGTGCCAAGATGTGCCATACCAGACTCTTTGAGGACAGAGATGGCAGGAGAAACAAATGGCACTTCCCTTGTCATCCCTTTGCTGAGGTAGCAATTTGTGCCACAAAACCAGCCAATCACAGACTTGGATGCAAAAAAAATCTGATTGGCTGTTTTGGTCTCCAATCAGCTCGAAATGACGAAATGCAATATCCCAGAATCCATTTCGTCAAGAACAACAAGACAGTGTACATCACTGTGACAACAGCATTTATTTTAGTTCAAAGGCTTTATGGTTTTTCCTGTAAATACCTGGTGGTGTAGTCCGGCGATTTTTTTTTTTTTTTTTGGTCAGTTCAGCCTTATATATTATGTTGAACCCGAGTGACCAGCTGGTGGGTAACAGGCATCTCCGAAAACGTTAGAGCACTTTTGCAAATATGTGATGTCTTGATAAATCGAGCAGATATTTGAAGTTTACACAGCACCATTCTCGCATGAAAATATCTTAAAAGTTTATTTTGTGACCCAGAAAGAGTAATATTTCAAACTCCGCCACTCGTGTTCCTCCGCCACTGCCTCGTTTGAGTTTTGGACGAAATGGATTCTGGGATATTGCATTTCGTCATTTCGAGCTGATTGGAGACCAAAACAGCCAATCAGATTTTTTTGCATCCAAGTCTGTGATTGGCTGGTTTTGTGGCACAAATATAACGGTGGCAGAGTGAAGCTGACCCCCCACCCACTTGAAACGTAAAGGCAAATAGGCGGAGCGGTTAGTGCTACGTTTGTGCAGATTTGTGCAGGTAAAATTAGCGTTTGTGCTGCTACGGTTTTCTGAGATATTAAACTTATTTTATAGGTCATTCAAAGGTCACCATCCCCCCAGACTGCTCCAAAACGGGCCAAAATGGTCTACTTTTTTAGTGCTACGTTTGTGCTGATTTGTGCAGGTAAAATTAGCGTTTGTGCTGCTATGATTTGAGATATTCCTGTTATGGTTTACTGCTGAAAAATGTCTTTTTCAAATGACCTTTCACTTTGTGTGTTCACTTGTTCAATAAAGTTCTGTTAAAAAAACCTCTTGTTGTATTTAATCAGCTAAATTTGTAATGAGTGTATTTTTTTTTAACTTCAATTTCTTTACTTCAATCACTTTTTGTTCATAAAACCACGATGCAAATGCTTGAGTATTTTTTTTTTTAGAGTGGATTAAAAAAACTTTATTGAAAACTACATTTGAACATTTTACACTCCCATGAACACTTTTTGAGAAACGAACAAGCTAGCAGTCTTTTGCATCAAATACACATTTTCTGGCAGAAAAAACTATTATTTGGCATTACTGTGTCTGAAGGATTCTTAGAACAGCGTTCATCTGATTTCTGAACAAGGTAAGCTTACATTTAAAATACTGAGGTTTTAGTTACTGAGTTAATACATGATATAGCTAACTGTCTGGATCAAAAGGATTTTTTTTCAATGTTAAACATTTTCAAAAATGTCCAAGAAAAAAGTTTCTAAAGCACTTTAAAACATGTAGCACACTGGACTAAAGTGCTGTACAGTACATGGGTTAAATACTCAGACTCAATTTAATAAACTCACAAATTCAATAGCTCCATCTTAAAAACAATAATTCCACAAAATATGAAAGTGTAGATTGGTGGAGAACTTGGGGGAGGGGTTGCTCCTGGCTGTATATATAGTTCAGAAATCACATTTTGCTCCATCATAATCATAGTGTGTTGTTTTTTTTTTAGATGCCTCGAAAGCCATCTGTAGACAAGGTTTCCATTTTTGCAGTTCTTTGCAATTCAAAAGAGGCCATAGTCCAAAATGGCAAAATAGCCACTCCAGCTGCATCAGTCTGGAAAGAGCTGAGTCAGCAGCTAGAAGACAAGATGTCAGCAAAGGCCCTGTACACTTTTGTGAAGCTAAATAGACACAACATCTGGTCAGCTTTGGAAATCAGTGATCAGGAAAGTAATAGTGAAGGAGAGTTAGATTCACATTGCATTTCTCCTGGACAAGAAAACTGTCAAGCTTTTGAACTAGAAGTCCCTTTTGAGGACTGGGTTAAATTTATTCCTGAAAAGGTTGAATACAATGACAAGTTTTCTCCTACCCAAAAAAGGGAATACACAATTTTGAAACCTGGCACTTGGACTCATATCATCAACGATCTTATATGGAAGAAGATCAAAAATACATGTACACTTGTGTTCCGTAGAGCAAAGGTCCATCCAACTGTCAACAATAATTATCTGGACATCAGAGGCGACTGTAAGGAGTGTCATGGCCAGTTAGAAATGTCATGTGACAGACAGCCAGCAATTAATAGTCCAATGGTGCTCCAGTGTTTCATGAGAAATACAGATCTCTCCCTGCACACTGGCCACTCCAAGCGGTTCATGTCTGGAAACCTGCGTGAACAGATCGCTAAAGAGCTGTGTGAGGGCAGAATGGAACCAGCTGTATGGAGGTCAGCGAGGGCAGCAGATCTGATGGATGTTGGAGATCCTGAGCCAAGCCACCTTCCAAATTTGGCCACTCTGCGAAAAGCCAAACAAGAGAGAAAAGACTTGGAATTAGGAGATAAGGACCCCATTGCATCTCTGCAATTGTTAAAATATAGTGTTCCTCACAGTGGTAGCATCCGAGATATTGGACTGGACAGGTTTTTCTGTCACTACTGGAGTCAAACACAGATGCATGTTTATAAGACATTGTCAAAAAAATCTCCCCCAACTGTGTGTTTTGATGCAACCGGTTCAGTTGTGAAAAAACTGCTGAGACCAAATGGCAAATCTGGCCATATCTTCCTTTATCAGGGTATTCTGAAAGAAAACAATTGCCCCAGTGTCCCAGTGGTGCAAATGCTGTCAGAGAAACATGATGTTAATGCCATCGCAAACTGGTTGACAGAATGGATTCGTGCAGGTGCACCTGTGCCAAAGGAAGCTGTGAGTGACTTTTCTCTGGCAATTCTGGGAGCTCTGGTCAAGGCTTTCACTCCTCATCCTGATCTGAAGTCCTACCTTAATGAATGCTTTCATGTCCTTCTTGGAACCCAGTCTGCCAAACTCCCCCCTTGTTATATCAGGGTTGATGTTGCGCACTGCATCAAGATGATATGCCAGTGGGACTGCCTGAAGAAGAAAACACATCGTGTTAAAGATTTCTTTGTCAGGTCATTAGCAAAACTTCTTCAGTCTCAATGTTTGGACCATGCAAAACAGCTCCTACATGCTATCACTGTTGTGGCCCTCAGTGAGGCAGAAGGTGATGACAGTTCTGGAGCCCCTCTTCCTTCAGAAAGGTGCAAGAAATACTTGAAAGCCCAAATTGCTCAAGACTCCATCATCATTCCAGATGAACAGACGGAGGAAAGTGAGAGAGTGGATTCAGTGGATGAGATCCAGACTGACCTACGACAGTGGGTAACAGAAATATGTGAGGAGAGCAGGTCACTTGCTGCAGCAAACGGGGATAGAGATAATATTCACTTTCTCCCTGAGATTATTCCTCATATAATAAGACTGGCAAGTTACTTGCCACTCTGGACAGGAATAATGGTCCCTCTCTTCCAAAGCACCAGCATCACAGCAAGTTCAGCCACTGTTGAAGCTGAGTTCAAAAACATAAAACATGGCCTTTTCAAACATGACAACTTGCCTCTTCGAGTCGATCGCTTCATTGCTCGTCATCTTTCCTTCATCGAGGGAAATATGCGGATTTGTTCTGCAAAAGAAAAGGTCAAAGATGAGGCAACAGTGGGATCACTGAAAGTCACAGATGCCAATTCTGGATCCATGACGACTCACAATGCAGAAGACAAAATAAAAATGGATGCTCACCCGTTTGTGGGATCTGATGCTGCCACAAACATTCTTCCGGCTGATGGGGATGCAGTTGAGAACTGGAGGGGCCTAGCTGTTCCACCCAAAAAAAGGAAGAGGACTTCCTACCTCTCTTCATGTACCGAATGGCTCCATGCAGATGAAACTTTTGGGGCCAAAAGAGTGAAAGTGGGATTATTAAAAAATGGAAACCTCCATCAGCCTATTAGATTAGGGGAATCGACAATCTCTGTGCTCAATACCTGTGCATTTGATGCATTTTTTCAGTGCTTATGTTGTGCCTTCTGTGACAGCTCCACATTTCAAAATGCTGTTCTGAAAGACAGTGAAAACCCAGTCCTGCAGCTGGTGAAAGCCATTGCCACAGATGGTGTGACCCAACAAACCTACAGGAGGAGAGCAGAGCTGCTTAGTGTAATGTTTGAAGCTGTCTCGTTGAGGTCTGCTGCGATCCAAATCGATGCTCAGTGCAATATCTCCGCTGTAATTGCTAAGACAATGAGGAACATCTCAAGTGTTTATTTTACCAAACACTGCTCTTCACAGCACTGCTACCTCAGCAAAGGGATGACAAGGGAAGTGCCATTTGTTTCTCCTGCCATCTCTGTCCTCAAAGAGTCTGGTATGGCTCATCTTGGCACGGCTGTGGAAGCAGGACTTGGCCTACCTGAGTCTACCTGCCTCAGGCCACTCTCCAATCCATCTCTGTGTCCATCAGAATTCAAAACAGAAGACAGCACCACAGGAAATGAGCTCTGTGCAGGGACAGTTACTCACAGCTACAACATTGGAGATATCGTGTGGATTGATACTGACCTTGCAAACCAAACAGAATTTCCACTGAATGAATTTCCCTCCAACCTGGTTCTCCAAGGAAAGTCGTTCACTTTGAGGGCATTAATTGCTTTCCATGGAAAGATGACCACTGATGGTTTGGGGCATTACACTGCATACTGCAGGAGAGCTCC